CCTGGCGGTGGGATTGGGAGCGATGAAGTGGGGTGAGGGGGTCTCTGCGCTGGGGAAGAAGCAAAATGGGGATCAAGTGGATAAGAGAAGTAGTCGCGGTCATGAGTGATGCATGGGTCCCCATATTCATGAGTTTTGATGGGCGTGGGATGAGGTGGCTCAATGTATGCGCTACGGTTTAAATATATCCAGTGACGCGAGCTCGACCGGGCAAAGCTTTGGCCGACCAACATGAAGGAATCTAGATGTGCCCAATATAAACTTTTATTACAATTGTTTCTTACAGAAAGGAAAATTTATGGGGTATGATGCCTGGAGTCGCCGTCTTGACCGGTTCCTAAGAGCATCTACAACCAGGCCTCTCAAACCCGTCTCATAAGCCCGGGCAGGCCGCACGGTCACGATTTTTTTATCCAGACAGGCCTCAAACGCCCGGCCTGACCGGCACCCCCCATATCCAGCCCAAATATGGGGCGGATATGGGGCGCCCGGGCACGCCCGTCACGTCGGATCCGATAGCCCGACCCCACCTCAAATTGCACAAAATCCACCAAACCCTTCCTCCTCCTCCCGTCGTCCTCCAACCATTTCCGCGTTCGGACCCTCGCTGTCCTCCACCCTTGCTCACAATCCTCACCTCTGGTCCCGATCAACCACCGGAGATGTCGTCCAACCCGGCCCACACCGCTACGACAGAGATGTAGTCCGCCTCGTCCGTCGGCGGCGTGATTTCGTCGGCGGCGACTTGCAAGGTGGAGAACATCGCCCGCAAGTTGCGGCAACGCCCGCAGCAAGACGCATTCCGCTCGGAGCAGGTGCCCTGATGTGGACCAGATCATGACCAAGGCATGCAAGAGTGAGGTTAATGCTAGCACAAATGCTGAACCATTAGATCATCCAAAGGAAGACAAGGGCAAAACCATTATCTTAGTTGGGAAGCTTCCGGTGCCTATTTTGGGAGAAATGACACATCAGATTTCCAGCTGCAACTTCCCACCTAAACCTAATTAATTCTGGAAGTCTCTAGCACCTTATAGAGGCTGGAAAAGATGGTCTTAGAAGTCAGCTTTCATTCAAAAAAAATGGTGCATCATTTGAGGTCTTGAGTCAAAACTTGTGCAAGTTTCCATGCAAGCTGTTCAGGAATTTATTACAGCGCGAGGCTCAACAAGTTTGCTCCTGCTACAGCTTGGGGCTCACGACTTTACCCTTCTTTTTGAGTTGTTTTCACACCTGACTAGTGGGTGCTTCTAGTATAAATACTCCCCAGCTGTTCCATGTGAGGGGGGATGAGATTTCTGAGTTTATGTTTGTAGACAGCCGGTGAGGTTGTGTTGTACTGTGAGCACTAGTATCGTTGAGTGTTAGCTCGTGTGTGTGGATTGGAGGGCCTGTCCTCAATTCATATAGGATCCTTGTGGTTCCCTCTTGTGATTCTTCATAGGTTCACAAGCTTCATGGTTTGGGTTGCATCCTTGTAAACCAAGCTAGTTATCCGCTGCAATTTATCTGAGAGTGTTTCCTCTTGTTCTTGCCACTTGAGAGTAACAAAGTTTGTTGAAACAAGTTTCGAGTGAGTTTGTTGCTGCTCCTTGTGAGTTCTTTGGCACCGTGAAAGATCGTTTCCGAGGCGTCCCGTATCATCTTGGTATCGGAGCTTTAGGTTGTTCGCGGTGCTATTTTCTCTCTTGCTGATTTTGTTCTTGAGAAGCTTCCATGGGTTCGAGGAGATCCAACAGCGTTGATGGTGTGCATGGAGGTAGGCACCTCATGGAGGAGGAGTTGCCACTTCCCGTGTACGATCCAAGCTTGCAGCCCGCCTATGTGCTGGCATTGGAGGATACACGAGAGTATGTGTTGAACAAGGTGGAGAGGCGCATATCGGCCGTGGAGACCAACCTTGGCCGGAGAATCGACTCCCTCACCGAGGAACTCCGTCGAGATAGGCTTGCTGCACGGGGTCGACATCGACAAATCCCCGAACAGCAGGGCCAACGCCACCTTGAGGAGGAGCATGGAGAGCACAACCACGTCTACTCGGGTGATGCTCATAGCTACTACGCTGCACCACCTCGGCGTGCTCGCTACGACCAGCGAGGTGCTACTTGGGCGCCACTGTCGCCACCATGAGATGGGCTTGCTGCACGGGGTCGACATCGACAACTCCCCATACAGCAGGACCACCATGGAGAGCATTGGAGCGACCACTCCGATGATGCTCGAAACTACTATGAGCCTCGACCACGACGTGTTCATCATGATCGTCGCGGAGAAGGCCAAGAAGGCTTTGCCATGGGAGAAAGAGGTCATGGGCGTGCTCATCATGATCATGAAGATGATGGGATTGGTAAATTCAAACTTACCATACCATCGTTCAATGGGAAAACCGAGCCCGATGATTATTTGGAGTGGGAGGTGCGTGTGGATCAGATTTTTGACAGCCACCGCTATACGGAGGAGAAGATGGTACGATATGCATCCATTGAGTTTACTGGATATGCTTTGATTTAGTGGAACCAATTGTGTCGTGCTGGAGGTCGTCCGGAGACATGGGTGCAAATGAAAAATCTGTTGCGGAGACGGTTTGTTCCTGAACATTTCACAAGAACCTTGTACACTCGACTCCAATAGTTGTGCCAAGGTAATTCTAGTGTTGATGAGTACTATAAAGAGATGGAGATTTTGATGATTAGGACAGCAGTGAATGAGCCAGAGGAGGCCACAATGTCAAGATTCTTTCATGGACTGAATGAAGATGTGTAAGAAAGGATAGAGATGGTTACATATCAAGATTTGCAAGAACTTGTGCATCAAGCTATTCATGTAGAGCAGCAGCTGAAGCGTCGCCAAAATCGCAGCCAAACCTATACATCAAGCACTTGGAGAGGTTCAGTTCAGCAAGAAGTAGAAGGAAGTGTTGCTGCAGATTTTCGCTCACACAACAAGATGACTACAAAAGAAGCTAATGCATCAAAGGTTGAATCTTCCAATACTCCTGCCACTCGCATTAGTAATATTCAGTGCCATACATGCAAGGGTAGAGGTCACTTCAAGAAGGATTGTCCTAATCTGAAGAAGGTTTTACTCACAAATGATGCATATGTCACCGATGACTCAAGTGACAAATCTGAATCTGAGAAGGAAGATGCAAATTATTGTACTTTTGAGACCGGAGCACCTCTGAGTTCAGATGGAGGAGATGGTGTTAATCTCATGGTTCGCAAAGTGGCTCATGATGATGCTCCTATTATTGAGAAGGGCCAGCGAGAAAATGTGTTCCAATCCATTTGCAAGATCAAGGACAAAAACTGCAAGGTGGTCATCGATGGAGGCAGCTACAACAACATCATTAGTAGTGATCTTGTGCATGCTCTTGGGATATCAACATGGAGGCAGCCCCAGCCATATTATGTAAAGTGGCTGAATGGTGTTGGTAAGCTGAAGATTACGCATCGTGCTAGGGTGCAATTTTCAGTGGGAAGTTATGTGGACAAAGTGGTATGTGATGTGGTGCCAATGCAAGCTTGTCATCTTCTTTTGGGAAGACCGTGGCAGTTTGATCATGATGCTACTCACCATGGGAGGTCTAACAAGTATTCTTTCATGCATCAAGGAGTGAACCATGTCTTGGAACCTATGGTGGATCAAGTACTCAAGGTTGAGCAATTCCCACAAGTGAAGAAGCCAAAAAAGAATACCTCAAAACCGAGGACGATTTTGTTTGAAGGAAGGGAGGATGATGTGAACCAGATCATGACCAAGGCATGCAAGAGTGAGGTTAATGCTAGCACAAATGCTGAACCATTAGAGCATCCAAAGGAAGACAAGGGCAAAACCATTATCTTAGTTGGGAAGCTTCCGGTGCCTATTTTGCGAGAAATGACACATCAAATTTCCAGCTGCAACTTCCCACCTAAACCTAATTAATTCTGAAAGTCTCTAGCACCTTATAGAGGCTGGAAAAGATGGTCTTAGAAGTCAGCTTTCATTCAAAAAAACGGTGCATCATTTGAGGTCTTGAGTCAAAAGTTGTGCAAGTTTCCATGCAAGCTGTCCAGGAATTTATTACAGCGCGAGGCTCAACAAGTTTGCTCCTGCTACAGCTTGGGGCTCACGAATTTACCCTTTTTTTGAGTTGTTTTCACACCTAACTAGTGGGTGCTTCTAGTATAAATACTTCCCAGCTGTTCCATGTGAGGGGGGATGAGATTTCTGAGTTTATGTTTGTAGACAGCCAGTGAGATTGTGTTGTGCTGTGAGCACTAGTATCGTTCAGTGTTAGCTCGTGCGTGTGGATTGGAGGGCCTGTCCTCAATTCATATAGGATCCTTGTGGTTCCCTCTTGTGATTCTTCATAGGTTCACAAGCTTCATGGTTTGGGTTGCATCCTTGTAAACCAAGTTAGTTATCCGCTGCAATTTATCTGAGAGTGTTTCCTCTTGTTCTTGCCACTTGAGAGTAACAAAGTTTGTTGAAACAAGTTTCGAGTGAGTTTATTGCTGCTCCTTGTGAGTTCTTTGGCACCGTGAAAGATCGTTTCCGAGGCGTCCCATATCACGCCCCGTCAGTGATCCGAGGCCATCCGTCACGCTCGGACATTGTTTTCATTTTGCCATGTCCGATTTGTTGAACTATGATTTACTTTGCTTTGCTTTGTTTTAAATTTTGGCCTTCAAACAATTTGTACATATGATCGACGTGCATGAATTGTATGAATTTGAGATCAAAATTTATGGTATATAAATGTGCGACACAATATTTAATGGGTGTTCGGTCAGTTCGCGCGGACGTGTTCCGGACGTTTGAGCGGCCGGATTTGCCAAAGTCGTGGGTAAGAGGAGAGGCGTCTGTTGAACGGACTCTGATCACGCGTGTAAAACTCTTGTGCTTGTTTCAGAAGCTGGTCTTAAAGCCAGAAAGGTCTGACCGCCTCCGCGTACGTCCCCAACTCGGTCGAACGTCGCCGCCGCTGCCGCCAGGGCTCTCCACCGCGATCCCAGATGGCGGCGCGAATCGCGATCATCAACGAGGATAGGTGCAAGCCCAAGAAGTGCCGGCAGGAGTGCAGGAAGAGCTGCCCCGTCGTCAAGACCGGTGAGGACCCATCATCCTGTACTCTCTCTCGTGTAAAGCCCTAAATCTGCCCTTCGCGTCGTGGTCTCGATTTGGCCGGCGCTGATCGATGCGCTCCTTCCCGTGCTCGTTGCGCACAGCCTCGATTTCTATGAGCTCTCAATTTGCTGACTGTAATCAACTTGTTTACGCCCCGGCGGCTCGGGAATCGAATTCCCCACGATCGACCCCACCGGCGTCGGGGCATCTTCCCTTCCGTACCTTCCTCCTGCTCAGGCCGGCGCAGGAGGCGGCTTGTGCTACTGCGTGCTAGTAATAGTTGTTTCGACATGATTATTACTCCCTATGTTCCTAAATATTTATCTTTTTAGATATTTCAAATGGACTACCACATACAAATGCATATAGACATATTTTAGAGTGTAGGTTCACTCATTTTGCTCCGTATGTAGTTGCAAATATTTAGGAACGGAGGGAGTATATGTGATGTGCACCAATTTTACGCTTCTCTTCAGCATGCTTAGAAAGTCCTCTACTGCCTTCAACTGGATTGTTATGACAACGTCATGAGATGATGGTTTCCTGTGCAGGGAAGCATTGCATTGAAGTTACTCCGGCGTCCAAGACCGCGTTCATCTCTGAAGAGCTGTGCATTGGTTGTGGTATTTGCGTCAAGGTACATGCCTTGTAATTAGGCTTTATCAATGTACTCTTTTTCCATCCCATAAGAACGTTTTTAAAGCTATGTTAGATTGAAAAAACGTTCTTATATTATGGGACGGAGGGAGTGGCTGTTAAAATGTGGGGTTCCTATGTGTATGTACTGTGCAAGTATAATTGTCTTCTCATGCACTTGTGCTGTCTGCAAACCTTTGCTTCAGAAATGCCCATTTGGTGCCATTCAGATCATCAACCTCACAAAAGATCTGGATAAAGATACCACCCATCGCTACGGCGCAAACACCTTCAAATTGCACAGGTAATTTGCTCGAAAGGCTGCTGTCATCTGTTATGCTTGAAGCTGCCCTTATCCAGAATTATTACTGATGATCTAGCGCTTACAGGTTGCCTGTTCCAAGACCTGGCCAGGTTTTGGGCCTTGTTGGAGCCAATGGGATTGGAAAGTCGACTGCACTTAAGGTGTTATGTGGCAAGTTGAAACCTAATTTGGGAAAATTCAATGTATAATCCCTATTTCCTACCTTGTTTTTTTTTTCATGTGTTGCTACCACCTTAGTTTTCTTTTGGGATAAAAAGTTTGTTTTGTTTTGTCCTTCTTCTATGAACTGCACAAGCGATTGTTATTTAGCTTTCTATCTTCTTTTGTTTTGCAGAATCCGCCTGACTGGCAGGAAATCCTTACATACTTCCGGGGGTCTGAACTTCAGAATTATTTTACGCGTCTATTGGAGGATAATCTCAAGGTGCTTTTTACTCATTATATGTCGTTCAGACACCGAGACACATATAGGAAGATCTTGATGTCCTCTTTACAATCACAGCACACTTGCTGTGTTGTTTTTCTGTTCTGTACCATCATATGCATTGTTATAAAGCATCTTCAGTACACCTAAATATTCAATCAAAGTAGGCTAGTAGCAATGTTCTCTTCCACCTATACATTCAGCCATAGGAGTGTACATAGTCTAATATTGTTGAGGTCCTGGAGCTGTTACTGTGCTCTTAGTTACTTCATGACACATATTATGGCATATTATGACAGCCTGTTTCAGTATACGATTTGTGCTGTTGTTTTCACTATTGAACATTTCTGATCCCACTCTACTTCTCTAGGCAATCATAAAGCGTCAAGACGTTGAAAGCATTCCGAAAGCAGTTCAAGGGAATGTCGGTCAACTACTTGACAAGTTAGACCAGAGGGGTGTTAAAGCTCAATTGTGCATTGACCTTGAATTGAACCAAGTTCTGGACCGGAATGTAGAAGATCTTTCAGGTGGTGAGCTGCAGAGATTTGCCATAGCAGGCACTGCTGCACAAAGTGCAGACATTTACATGTTTGACGAACCATCAGTTTACCTCGATGTCAAGCAGAGGCTTAAAGCTGCACAAGTCATTAGGTCCTTGCTTAGAGCAAACAGGTAATGCATATTTGTTACCATGATTATCTTCCAATACTCTGAAATATAAGCTTTTAGAAATTCAGTATCAGCTGCTCACGTTCTGGTTTTGTTTTCAGCTATGTGATCGTTGTGGAACATGATTTGAGTGTCTTGGATTACATGTCCGATTTTATTTGCTGTTCATATGGGAAACCAGGAGCATTTGGTGTAGTTACGCTGCCATTTTCAGTCCGAGAAGGTATCAATGTTTTCCTGGCTGGATTTGTTCCAACAGAAAATCTTCGGTTTCGAGATGAAGCACTTACATTTAAGGTAAGCTAACATATGCACACATGATTTGAGAACCCTTTTCAGGATGAAGTTTGTTCTTATGTTAGTGCCGGCTTTCAGATTGTTGAAGCCCAGGAAAATGCTGAAGAGATTGAGACATACCAGCGATACAAGTACCCTACCATGAGCAAAACAATTGGAAATTTCAAGCTCACTGTCATGGAAGGTGAATTCACAGATTCTCAGATTGTTGTGATGCTGGGTGAGAACGGAACAGGGAAAACTACGTTCATCAAAATGCTGGTATGTCTATCTCCACTCCTTCCTCACCACCTCCCATCTCTGATCTCTCTGTCAACATTTTTATCATTCAAGTAATTGAGAGTCTTGGAATGAATACAAAACAGTCGAACTATAAATTGTATAAATCAATTTTTTTCCTCATGGCATTTACCATGAGGATTCATATCAAGGTTGCAATAAGTAATGGTGTCTGGTGCTGTGAAATGTTTTCTCTACCTCTTCTGAAAACTACAGCGAGTTTCCTAGTAATGTTTAAATTCCAAAGGCAATACATACTGTCTACTAGTAGTACTATAAGCATGCAATGATTCTGGTTCTAGAGTGCCATATCAGCACTAAGGGTTGTATAAAAATGACCCGTGTCAAAATTTACTGTTTTTTCGCTAACGTGAATTTGGTGCTGGCAATACATACTGTCTACTAGTAGTACTATAAGCATGCGATGATTCTGGTTCTAGAGTGCCATATCAGCACTAAGTTTTGTATAAAAATGACCCGTGCCAAAATTTACTGTTTTTTCGCTAACGTGAATTTGGTGCTGATGGAAACGTGAAGGATACAATTGAGTTTGCTGTTAGTTGAGATTCTGATTTCAGTTTGATGCATTGTACTTTCTTTTCTACATTTCTAAGTCAAAAATGTCTTCTATTACTGTCAGCTTCCTGGAAAGTGTGCATTTTATCAAAATTAAGGTTTTACTAGTCCTTGTGATGATGATGCACTGGATGTCTTCTGATTTTACAAGTTTTACAAGATTCCTTAAGTTATGCATAGTTAATCTGGATAAAAGAAGTAATCTATTTGCATCCAATAGATTAGACATCTGGTATCTTGTATTCATTGTTTGTTATGACTGTACAGGCTGGGCGGCTGCAGCCAGATACTGTGGAAGGAGCTGAGATTGAAATTCCTAAATTTTATGTGTCCCACAAGCCTCAGCAGCTTGAAACAAAATTCCAGGGTACAGTGAGTCAATTGCTTCATCAGAAAATACCAGAATCATGTGCTCATCCTCAATTTAGGTCTGATGTCATTAAACCACTACAAATTGAGCAACTCATGGACCGGGTAGTTACAAATTTATCGGGTGGAGAACGCCAAAGAGTGGCATTATGTCTTTGCCTGAACTTTTGTTTAATAGCTTTATAAAATAAATTTTCTTTTAGAGAATAACATATATATTGTTTCTGTGTTCTGTGGTGTTCAAAAGATTCAGGACTTCAGGGATGATTATTTTTGCATATTTAATACTTACTATCCTTTTTGCCTTTTGTTTTTGTTACTGTATTATGTAAAATTGTTTATAGATACCATATGTACTTAATATATGTCCTACTATCAGTATCTACTGCTCTTTGCCTGAGTCTGCCTTTTGGGTATTTTATGTACTTAATATTATTCTTCCTTTTGCTTTTGTTACTGTGTTGTTTAAAATCGTTTACTATATGCATGTTCCACAATCCTGTCAAACATATGCTTGTGTTTGTTCAGACTAAGAATGTAAATACTATCAGCTTGTGGATCCTAACTTTGAAGTTGTTCTTCAGCCTGCAGATATTTATCTGATTGATGAACCAAGTGCATCTCTTGATTCAGAGCAGCGCATTGTTGCCTCAAAGGTTATCAAAAGATTCATCCTTCATGCAAAGAAAACCGCATTTGTTGTTGAGCATGACTTCATCATGGCAACCTACTTAGCTGATAAGGTTATTGTTTACGAGGGACGGCCTTCTGTAGACTGTACTGCTAATGCACCTCAGACTTTACTATCTGGGATGAATAAATTCTTATCGGTAAGTGCAGCTACCCAGAGTTGTCAACAAAAATTATAATAACAGTACGAGCTCAAGTTGGTTTCTTATTTCCTAACTTCAACTCTGAATTTGACCTATTTGTTCCTTTATCTTTACATAGTGTAATTGGTGGCTACCTCCGTTTCAGAATAAAAAAACTTCAGTTGGTGTTTTCATCCACTAATTTTTCTTTCTTTTGGTCAACATTGTCTTGTGGCAGCAACTTGACATCACATTTAGAAGAGACCCGACCAACTATAGGCCACGGATAAACAAGCTGGACTCTACGAAAGACAAAGAACAAAAGTCTGTAGGGTCCTACTACTACCTGTGATACAGGCACCACGGTTGATACTTTGGTACCGTTGCAACTGCAACGCACTCTGCTTGGGTTGCTTCTTGTTGGAGAAGAAACTGAACTGGATTTGTCCAAGGGGGAGGCGAGACAACATGGAGGACGTAGGAGCAAGGAGACAGGCCAACGCCGCCAGCAGGCGCAACATGATAACCTCCCATGGAATCTGGTGAAGGAATGCAGAGAAAGGGAAGCAGGAAGTGCTGCAAGGTTGGATCGGATCAAGGAGCCTGCGCCAGAAGAAGTAATCCCAACCTTTAGAACCCCTCCTGAACCTGGAGTGATCTGTCGGTAAGGAATCCGAGCACTGTCAAGCACCATGGCTGCATTATCATTGCACCATTCATGTATGCGTTGTACCTTTAATTAATCTACCAACCTTTTTGGTTTCAGGACTTCGGCCACAGTCATTGCAGGATGCTTTGAGATCAAGCAAGACGTTTGATGGTGTCGAAGCCTCGGCACCGAGCTGAGAACTGCTTTAAGCTTTTCTCTGAAGAAGAATTGGGTGTTGCTTGAACTTACGAGACTACTACGTTTTCTGTAATAGGGTTGTACCAGGTTTTTTGCCCCATAGCTTGTATTCAGGTATACAAGCAGTGGGTTTTCCTGGTGAACATCGAACCCACAACCTACCTACTATTTTCAATAAAAATCATATAAGAATTTGCCGTGGGGCAACTAGCACTTGATTTGTCCTTTTTTTAATAATTTGCAAAATATAGCATTGCATGAAATAATATCTGGCATTCTTTGGAATGCATGAATTTCACTTGAAAATCCCCATGTTTGGCACGAGGCCTGATTAACATGTTATACAAGCTCAGGAAAGCTACAAGATTCAATAAAACTGGTCATGTATGTCATTGCCAAATACTGACACTACGGAGCTACAGCTGCAGCTCAGACCACAGCAAGTATTTCTAAGGTTAAAAACACAAGAGATACATTTTCAATTTTTTAGGCTCAGACCACGGCAATTTTTTAGGCTACAAACTCAAATTCCCTAACTAAAAGAACTCAAAGTCGAGGAATTTCCCTCCAGACTCCACATGGTCTGCCCCTGGCCCTGCTGGCACCCTCTTGCTGCTGTTGTAATTCGTCTCCACCCTGTCCATGGATGCCGACTTCGCCGGCATTGCTGCGACGGCCATGGGCTCGACGGGCCTGGGCACGCCGGGCGGCGTGCTGCACCGGATGAGCGCCCAGTTGACGCCCTCGAAGAAGGGGTGCTGCTTGATCTCGGCCGCTCCCCTCTTCACGCCGAGCCGGCCCTGGGGCTCCTTGGCCAGCAGGCCCCTGATGAGGTCCTTGCTGGCGCCGCTCGTCGGCGGGCCGCCCTCCGGGAACCGGAGCTGCTGGCCGACGACGTTGAACAGCGTGGCCCGGTTCGTCTGCCCCTTGAACGGCGTCTTGCCGTACATGAGCTCGTGCAGGAACACGCCGAACGTCCACCAGTCCACCGCGCTGCCGTGGCCCTCCCCCTTGATGATCTCCGGCGCCAGGTACTCGTGCGTGCCCACGAACGACATCGACCGCGCGCCGGTCGGCTCCACCACGAGCTCCGGCATGGCGCCCTGCTGCTGCTGCTCGCCGCTCTTCGATCTGGAGGCCGCGGAGGCGCTCTTCTTGCTCCGGCCGCCGAAGAGCTTGGGCATGAAGCACGTGGGCTGGATGCAGGCGCCGCCGTTGGGGCCGGAGGCGCTGCAGGGCAGCGTCGGCCGGACCAGCGTCGTCGAGGCGTCGCAGCGGAGGGAGAGGTCGAAGTCGGAGAGCATGACGTGGCCGTCGTCCCTGACGAGCACGTTCTCCGGCTTCAGGTCCCGGTACACCACCCCGAGCATGTGCAGGTACTCCAGCGCAAGGAGCACCTCGGCGGCATAGAACCTGAGCGAACGAGCGAAAGAGAGTCATATCCCATGCTTGGAACGCGAATTGTTCCACAGATTAGCTGCAAAAATGCATCGAAACTGTACCTTGCGGCGTGCTCCGGGAAGAGCTTGCCGGGCTGGCGCTGGCGGAGGGCGTGGAGGTCGCCGCCGGGGCAGAACTCCATGACGAGGCAGGCGAACTTGTCGGTCTCGAAGTGGGCGTAGAGGGTGGGGAGGAAGGGGTGGTCCAGCAGCTGCAGGATCTCACGCTCCGTCTCCGCGCGGCTCAGCTTCCGGCGGCTCTCCAGCGACGCCTTGTCCATCACCTTCATGGCGAACCACGGCGCCCTGGCCGCGCCGCCGCCGCCGCCGCCGCCCTTGCTGAGCTCGGAGAGGTACACCGTGCCGATGTCGCCGCAGCCGAGCCGCCGGAGCAGCCGGAAGTCACCCATCCCGAGGGGCCCGTCCCCCGCGCGCGCCGCCAGGACCGCCTTCCACCTAGGGTCGCCCCCCTTGTGGGGCTTCCCGCCCACGCCGCCGCTCCCGCCGGCGCCGGCGGTGCCGTTGCTCCAGTCGCTGGCGGCGCTGCTGCTGACGCTGGTCTTGGCGCTCCGGCTGGTGACGGTGCAGCTGGGCGCCATGCTGGTGCAGGTGGCCGTGACCGCCCCGCCGCCGGAGGAGCTGTCGCCCATGCTGCTGTGCGGGCTCGCGGCGCCGCTCACCGGCGGGGACGCGTCCCACACGATGACCGGCTTGGCTGGCGGCGGCGGCGCCTTCTTGTCGCCCCGCCCGTGGTCCACGGCCACGAGCACGGGGTCCATCTCGTCGACCGGCTCCGGCGGGTGGCTGGCCCCGGAGAAGGAGCTCCTCGGCGGCGCCCCGTCATCGTCGTCGTCGTCGCCCTCGCTGGACGCAATGCTGAGCCTCACCTTGTCGAACGCAACAAGGACCTCCTCCTTGTCCTTGGCGGCCGCGGGTGCCGCCGGCTTGGCGCCGGCGTCCATGTCGAAGCGGAAGGCGTCGGGCAGGAAGTCGAAGCGGAACTCGAAATCCTGGGCGGGATCTGGGCGCACCTGCGCGAGCTGGGAGCGGGAGCGCGCGTGGCCCGGGGCTGACCTCGGCGGCTTGGCGTGCGGTGGAGGGCGAGATGACTGCATCACTCACTCCTTGGCTTGGCTGACTCCTTGTCGTTGAGTGTCCCGCCGAGTAATGGAGGCGGTGTAGTAACGGGAGGATGACAAAAGAGGTTGGGGGGAGGGGGAAGGGGACACGATCACACAACTGCCGGGCCGCGGGTAATTCGTAGCGGAGAGAGCGCGTCTTCTTCTTCTTTTCTCTCTTTCTCTCTCTTGTGTGCCGTGGAGACAATGATGGCAGGGCAGAGCAGGCCAGAGGCGAGGCAGCAGTAGTAATAGTACTGGCCGGGTCGTGTCTAGTCCTTCTCCTCTGCTGCTTCGCGCTTGGATCTTGCCGCTTCGTTTGCCGATGGACTTCCTTCTTATACATTATTTTACCGTATAACAATGTGAGTGTAATGCGAACGTGGTTGGATGTTCACAGTGGTATCCCGGCCTATCAGAGTTCAAGTCCTGAATTTTCCGCGATGTGCTTTTAATGAGGGAAAAAGTTACGTGTATGTATTATGAGCCCCTGCCTCTGTACTGTGTTAATAAAATGTGAGTGTACTGGCTGTAGCGGGCTTGGTAACGAGTACTAGACCAAAAATCAGCGCTGAATAAAGATTTTTCGGATACTTTCTTGACAAGACCATCAGTCCTATGGTTGGAGACGTATTTAGAAACCAGTCTGTTCAAGCAAGGATGGCGTGGCGGCGGCGGCATCCTCGTGATGGACCTGTGTCCTTGGGCTCTGCCGTTACGATAGTGTTTGCTCCAGCGTCGGCGTGGAGCTTGAGAGGTAGTCTAGGAGCTGATATAGATTGTGGTCTGCATCGACGACATCTGGACGGAACATGTGTTGGGCTTCTGGTTCGTGGATGGCAGGTATGGTTTCCTTCTGTAGCGTCTTAGTCGCGGTGGGGTGCCAGATTTGGGGTTCGATGGCGTGTCTGGGATGTTGCCCCGGTCTGATTTGTTCAATGATAAAGGCTTCAATTTTGACGAACCATCTTGAAGGTCCGCAAAGCTGCATATCAGTGATGGAGCCGCGTCGAGCTCGGGTAAGGAGACGATTCATGTTTTTTCTTCTTCGATGGCTACTGTCGTGGTGCCGGAGGCAGATAATGTCCGTTACTGTCAAGCTCAGAGATGTTCTGCTATATTTTCAGTTTTAGCATGTCGGTTCTTACGTGATTTGTATTTTAATCTTTATAATATGAACGAGATACGTATTACCATGAAAAGAAATAGAACCGAAAAGACCAAACCAGTAGCCGTAGGCGGTAGACCCGCCCCCTCTCGTGTCAATCATGTGGGCGCGCTGTGTGCTGGGGCCAGAAATTCCCAAAGCATGGACAAACCACAGCCCACAGTGCCTGGAATACTTCTTCTTTTTTCGATCACCCTCAAATATGTGTAGGTACGTACGTGGCTCGGGCCTAGTTAGACACGATGGAGGCATGCTCATTAGCGTGCGCTGAGCCTGTCGTCTCACTGTTCTTGATAGAAAAAAGGGGGAATCATCTTGTGTTCTTTGCTGCGCAGCAGCAGCCCAAACACCCAGCAACGCGCGTGTCTCTCGCCCCGAACCAGCCATGGAACCGGGCCGGCGTTGCGCTGTTTGTAATAATGAAGTTCCGTAATCCCAGTACGTACGTGGCTTTCACTTCAATGGTGTGATCCTGTTACGGTAACCATAATGCCATATGCATTGCTCATCCGTCCCCGTTTTGGTCGCGTTACGTGACCGCCTGTAATATACACACACGTCGCGTGATCTACTTTTTCTCAACACTCGTACTCCTACTACGTGTAACGTGATCTGCTTTATGGAGGAACGCCGTTGCTTTGGAAAACGAATCGAAGTAGGAGTATTATATTCCTGGCCCATGTAACATTCCTTTCCTCTCGCACAGTCCTAGGGATCTTCTCGTTCAAAATCACCAACCAGCATTCCCTCCCTTTACGACCCTGATCTTGATCTCCGGAGAGGAGAGCAAAGCAAAAGGGAAAGCCACGGCGGGCTCTCTGCTCTGGGGATTCCTTTCCCTTTTGTTTTTATCGAAAGAGGCGCTCGACCCTTTTGATGATTTGATTTCGATCCGAGACTGATCGATTTCTTATTCATGTGATCGGTCAAGGATTAGACTTCCACAGTGGGAGTAACTTCGGTAGTAACATCGAGTCCAACTCAGCAAATTTGCTTATGTGGCAGTGAGTTAATGAGGAGAGATATAATACTAGTAACTTAGCTACTAGTAACTTAGCTAGTTACTGTAACATCACATGTCCCAATGCAATATGAGTCTATAACTTAATAAATGAAGCTTTGCATGTTACTCCCTCTGTCCGGGTTTATTGGGCCCTTAAGCCACAACACAAAGACCAAAGAGATACACGCATGTTGAGATTTAGAAAATAAATTTGCTTAATTTGCTCTCTAACTGCCCTATTAAATTGCCCCATTAACCAAAGCAGAGCATGCAGCGGCCGGCGTGCGCATGCAGCCTGCATGCATGCCCAATCGGCAAGGTTCCTGCGTCGGCTCCATTGCAACGATGCATGCGTGGGAGAGATTTCAGGTAATAAAGCAAGGTAATTAATGTACGGGCCTAATAAAATGGTACAACCATCTGTGGCTCTCGGGCCCAATAAACCCGGACGGAGGAAGTACCACACTTAGGCTGGTCATAGTGGGGAGTAACTTAGACTAGTAACATACATATGTTACTAGTCTATGTTACTACGTTCATAGTGGGTAGTGTCATAGGTGTGGTAATATAGTTGCCTTCATTTATTACTTTGTAGACTCATTATGCATTGGAAACCGCTATGTGATGGTAACATATTATGTTACTCTATTTGTCTCTTTTCTTATTAACTACTTGCCACATCACCATTTTTGCTTATGTGGCATCTATATTACTACCTATGTTACTCCCACTATGACCAGCCTATGTTACTATGTTACTACCACGTGTTGAGGTAGTAACATAGTCTAGAAATATATGTATGTTATTAATGTATGTTACTTTCCATTGTGGCTAGTCTGAGCTGCCCGCGCCGTCCCGTTCCTCCACGCGCCGACCGGACTGAGCTGATCGGCCTCGCTTTTGCCAGCGACCGAGATTTCATCTGACCTAAACGGGACTATACTAGTATACAGCTAGAGGGCGCGCGCAAGGCTGCTGCTGCGCTGTAGCCATGATCGCGTAGTTCCATGGCCAGCGGCGAGTGACGCGTCGCTGCTGTGCTGTTAACCTTTTTCTCTTCCTATTTTTGTTTCTATCTAGTAGTTGTGCTTCGCGGACGAACGCTAGCTGTGTGGATCTATGAAGAAGAAGAGAAATAGCGGCGAGGCTACCCAGCGTGAGAAAGGACTTTTGACCTAGGAGCAGTAGCTGCTTTGCTGACAAAAGCAACGTGAGGTAGATACGTAGTAGTACTGTGCTAGTATGGACAAAGGGTCATGGTCATGAGAATACCTAGAACTCATCTAGATGAGAAATAATTTGGTCTCATTCATTTTAAAAACAAAAACAAATACAATCCACGTCAGCACACACGTATCTTATAGCATCACATCCAATGGCTATAAAAGGTGAATGAGACCAAATTATATCTCATTTAGATGAGTTCTAGCAAAACTGTTTTTTTAAATGGTTTGAATTGCTTAGAGCAACTCCAACGGGCCGATCCAAACGGACGACATTTTTGTCCGTTTTTTGTCTGTTTGGATCGGCCGGCCGCCCGGCGTCCGCCCTCTTTTAGATTTGGGTCGGCAGCGTGCCCAACGCGCCAACCCATTTCATGACCGCGCG